CCTAGGAAGAGTCTGGCCCAGGGGGTCATAGGCCTCCTGGGATAAGGTCAGCATCACTCCCATGAGTGTGTGTCTGATCCCTCTGGCCCCCCAAAAACTCCAAGTAGGAAGCAAAGAGAGCAGGGAACAGAAAGGCACCTGCCTGGTGCACACATGGCCCCCCTGGGGTAGAGAATCAGTCTCCTTCCATCACTTGGGAAGCTGCCACTGCTTAAAGTTCTCAACCCCCAGATCTTAGCACCAAAGGCAAATGAGAACCACGAGAGGCCCCAGAGGTCCCTGAAAAGAGGATAGTCCAACATAATGGACACCCAGCAAAATAGAGCTTCTGGAATAGACAGATCACTTCACACAAGCATAATAAAAATACGAATGTAAAAAGATTAAAGTACAGCACCAAAAAGATCTAAATAAAATGGGAATAAATAAAAAAGGAGTTTTGCTGGATGAATTAAAGAAGAGGATGATCACTGTCAAGGGCCAAAGTAGTGGCTTGGAAGACCATGTGGAAGAAATATCTCAGAGCACAGAGCAAAATGCCAAAAGATGAAAATCATGAAGGGAAAAAATCAGTCTGGGAGACCCAAGAGATCTAATGTGGAATAACAGGGGGTTTTGTAAAAGTAGGGAAAGCATGCTCGGATCCCTTCTACCCCCCAATATTCTCCCTGTTGCAATACACTATCCTTCTCTTTCTCTTCACAGCCAAAATTCTAGAAAAGTTTGCATTCTGATGCCCCAACTCCCTCCCATCCCCTCACTGCTCAACTTGCTGCAGTCTGACTTCTGCCCAATGTGCCCTAGAGTCGGTCAATGTCCGAAATGCTTCCTCAGTGCTAAGTGCACTCAGTCTCTTCTAACTTGACCGAACTTGATGTTGTCGGTCCCCTTTTATTCTTGTTGGGGTTTTTTTAGCTTTATCTGGTGTTTTTGGTTTTGTCTAGCTTTATTGAGGTATAATTAATTAACAATCGTGTCTATTTAAAATGTACAACATGATGATTTATCTACGTCTACTTTTCTCCTTGAGGTTTTCACTTTTTTTTTTTTTTTACTTTCCTGATACCACACTCTTTTCCTATAAGTGTGGCAGCTCATCCTAGTTTTTCCAGGACTTTCCCAGCTTTGACACTGAGAGTCCTGCACTCCAGGAACCCCTCCATCCCAGGCAAACCAGAACCATGTCACAAGCTCATATTTCCCTGTCCTGTGATGTCTCAATTTGGGTTCCCCAAAGAGCAAACTCTGAGACAAGGATTTGAGCATAAGTAGTTTTTTTCAGAGGTGGTCCCAGGAAACACCAGCAGGGGTGTAAAGAAGTGAGTCAGGAAGGAAAAGGCAGCCAGTACAAGATGAGTTCAAGGATGTGTTATTGAGTGGACTATTGCTGTAGGAGATGGGAGCTTAATACCAGCAGGGACCGCTGGGCAGTCCGTGGGATGCTTAGCTCAGAGACATCTCACCTGAGGGGTGAGGGAGCTGGGGTATATGCCCACTAAGGCTTTGGTAAGGTGTGTTCTGGTAAGTATTTTCCACCTGGCACTTCTCACCTGCCATGTGCCAAACCAGGTAGACTCTGGTGGCAGCTGCTGGCCATTAGAAGTCACTGAAAGCATAACAATCAAGGCTATAGCCCTAACCAGTTTGGCTCAGTGGATAGAGTGTTGGCCTGTGGACTGAATGGTCCCAGGTTCAATTCCAGTCAAGGGCATGTACCTTGGTTTTGGGCACATCCCCAGTAGCGGGTGTGCAGGAGGCAGCTGGTTGATGTTTCTCTCTCATCGATGTTTCTAACTCTCTATCCCTCACCCTTCCTCTCTGTAAAAAATCAATAAAATATATTTTAAAAAAAAGAATCAAGGCTATAAGCGGGATATGACAGCATCTGCTCCACACAAGATTTCACTCTTTTTTTCTTTTTAAAAATATTTTTTATTAACTTCAGAGAGGAAGGGAGAGGGAAAGAGAGATAGAAACATCAATGATAAGAGAGAATCATTGATCAGCTGCCTCATGCACAACCCCTACTGGGGATCAAGCCCACAACCCTGGCCTATGCCCTGACCCAGACTCGAACCATGACTTCCTGGTTCATGCTCAACCACTGAGCCACACTCATCGGGCAAGATTTCTTTCTTGACCAAAGAGAAGCTCTAAGAATTTCAGCAAGAGTTCATGAATCATCTAAATTTCAATGTGTTATGTTCATAAGCTTTTTTTCCTTCTCCATCTCTAAGTAATGATAACTCCATCTTTTCTATTGCGTAAACTGAAAACCTGAGGGTCATCCTTTTCTCTTTCTCTCACACCCCATATTCAATCCATCAAACAAATTAGCTATAGCTTCAAAATAGAACTAGAATCCTTCCTACCTTCAAAATTAGCTCTTCAGTCCCCATCATCTATCACCTGCATTATGGTAATAGCCCCAAGAGAGCCACAGATTATTGTCATCAGACCTAGAAGTCAACTCTTGGTCTCTTATCTTAGCCCAGGATGTCTGTTCCTCCAAACCATGCTGTTCCTTTCCCATAACTGCCAGCTGAAACGAGAGCTACAAGGTCAGGGTCCTCAGAAATAACTCAAATTTACAGACAGTCCCTCAGAAAGCAGCAGAGGTGCTACGGAAAAAGATCAACCACTGGAGGCACAGACTGAGTCCAAATACCAGTCTGCCACTTACCCACTAAACGTCAATGGACAAGCCATGACACCCCTCTGTGCTCAGTATTTCTAGCTATAAAATGGGGTTGGTCATTATTGCAACCTCACAGAGTCATCATAAAGATTAAATAAAAGCTCTGCATCTATCTAGCAAACAATACATGCTTGATAACCCATGTAGTAAAGAGAACTTCTTTCAGATTCATCTCTGTATCTGAAATTAGACAATCATGAGAGATGGGGAAGTGAAATAGGTTTTGGCCAACTCCATCTTGAACCCCCTAGCATGACTTGGAGACCTAACCACAGAGCCCTGCTTCTCCATTTCTCAACCCACATATTGGGGGAAACTGGTTTCCTCTTCTGAGATTCGAGAATTTCCTCTGACCCCAGATAAACAGTCTATTAGACCAATGGTCCCTTCGGTGAAGGGCTTGGACCAGGATGTTCCACTCTGCAATCTCTGGGCTGTATGGGGGCTGGTTTCAGTACTGGTGAGGTGGGGACAGGTGTAAAGGTAGGGAAGGGAAACAAGTATAGAAGGAACAGAAAATGAAGTGAATGCCAACCTCCCCCACTGCCCACCCACCCTGCTCAGAGCCTCCTTTCCGAAATCACCAGATCTCAGTCAAAATAGGAACAATTCTATTAGTCATGGGCATTTGTAAATCAATAAATTAATTGACTTGGAGAATATCTACTCACCCCTGGATACAATTCAGAGATTGTCCAAATGAATTGCCATGTTGAGTTGTGCTCAGTTGGGGATAGTACCAGATTTCTAGGGGATGTTTTTGATTGTCACAATGACTGGGGGAGGTACCTCTGGCATTTAGTGTTAAAGGCTTAATTCTGCAGCCAAAAAAGTTCATATGTTGGAGTCCTAACCCCCAGTACCTCAGAATGTCACTGTATTTGGAGATAATGGTCTTTAAAGAGGTGATTAAGGGAAAATGAAGTCATTAAGGTGAGCCCTAATCCGATATGACTGGTATCCTTATTAAAAGCGATTAGGACACAGCCCTACACAAAGGGAAAACTATGTGAACACACAGAGAGAAGATAGCCGTCTATAAGCCAAGGAAACAACTCTTACCAAAAACCAACCACGCCAACATCTTGATTTTGCACTTCCATTCTCCAGAACTATGAGACAATATATTTTTGTTGTTTAAACCTGTGGTACTTTATTGTGGCAGCCCCAGAAAATTAACACAGTAGACAAGGACCACACAATGAACTGGCATTTTGAGAAGCTCTAACATTGCAAGAGCTAATAGCCCCAGAATGTCCACTTGCCAGCAAAGTGAAATATTTCATCAAAAACCTTTACAAACTACAAATAGTCCAAAGGCACATGTGGGTAGGTATCTCCATTGCTGTCCTGAGGATCTGACAAAGTCATGGCCTGGCTTGGCCACACTGAGTGGGGAGTCTTGCCTTTCAGCTAGTCAGCAGTTCCATGGGCCAAATCTTAGCAGAGGTCTGAATCCACCACCTAACTTGGTCAAACCTCACCTGGGACATTGAGAAAGTTTCTTGTCAAGAAGAATCTTGCCCCAACTGCTTGCCAGTAGTTTATCCACATCTTGTAGGCAGCGAGGGAGCCCAGCCCCAGTGCATCATGGTTCAGAGGACCGAAGGTATTTTCAACTCTAGTCAATCAATGTCAGGCCCAGAGCCCCAAGGGCAAGCATCACTTCCAAAGTGCCATGATCAAGGACTTGGTGCGTTTCCTCCAGACCCCAGAACTGGGAGACCATCACTCCAGCTCACCATCAACTGTGAACTGAATGTGTGTGACCCCAAAAAAATCATATGTTGAAACCCAATCCCCAATTTGATGGCATTCAGAGTTGGGCCTTTGGGAGGGGATTAGGCCATGAGGGTAGAGCCCTCTGAATGTGATTAAAGCTCTTATAAAAGAAACCCCAGAGAATTCCCTTGTCCATTCTAGAGCAAGAAGGCGGCATCAATGAACCAGGAAACAGGCCTTCCTTCACCAAACACTGAATCTCCCTGCACCTTGATCTTGGACTTCCAAGCTTTGAGCATTTTGAAAAATAAATTTATGTTGTTTATAAGCCATCCAGTCTATGGTATTTTGTTATAGTAGCCTGAACACACTCAGATTCCATCCAATTGATCAAGCCCCCAAGTCCTCACCCTAGAAATTGTCTGATTTACACCCCAGGGAACTTGCTACATCCAAGCTGCTGGTTCCGTCTTGGGCGCAACCAAATCAGTTCCTAGAGAGGCAGGAAGGGCAGGAACTTCTCATCTCCAAGAGTCAAGGGGTGCTCGGATGAGACCCCACCCAGTCTCATCCCTGGGGTTCAACAGGAGCATTTCCGCTCACAAATCCAATACGTAGCTTTGTTGCAAGAGAGGTCATTCCAGGTGCCTTGTTTGGTCATGCTGACACAGTCCTCATCATTCAGGTTGTTAGGTTCCTCTGGTTCCCAGAAGCTGGAGAAAAGAAAAATTGGGTGTGGGAGGGATGAATAGGTGGAGCACAGGATATTTTTCAGGACAGTGGCACTACTAGTCTACATGATATTGACATTATGCATTTGTCAAAACACATACAACACTTGAAGTGAACCCAAATGTAAAGTATGGATTTTAGTTAATAATAATGTGTCCATATTGGTTCATCAATTTTAACAAATGTACAACACTAATGCAAGATGTTAATAATAATAGAAACTGTGTGTGGAAAAGTATATATTACAGCAAATTTCTGTACCTTCAGCCCAATTTTTCTGTAAATTAAAAAATAATTAAGCCCTGGCCAGTTTTGCTCAATGGCTAGAGTGTCAGCCCTCGGACCAAAGGGACCCGGATTCAATTCACAGGCAAGGGCACATACCTCGGTTGCAGGTTCCCCAGCCCCGTAGGGGCACGTGTGGGAGGCAACCAATTGATGTGTCTCTCTCACTTCAATGTTTCTCTCCTCCCCTCCTCCCTCCTTTCCACTCTCTCTATATACAAATAAATGGAAAAAATATCCTCAGTGAGCATTTTTTTAAAAGAAAAGAAAAAATAATTAAATCTATTGATTTTTAAAAATATATTGGGGAGAAAGGACTTCGGGGTACAAGGCTCTTTATTCTATCTGAATCATTTCTTCAGCCTTTCAGAATTACCTAAAGATGCTGCATCATCCCCTTCACTCCAACTTGCTTGTCCTAGCTCAACCCCACCTCCCTGTTCACCAGGCCAAACTCTTCCTTCTTAAATCTGTTTCCAAGCATCTGGTCAGTATCTGCCTCCTTTTCCAAAGAACACTTCCTTTCCACCCTAATTCTCCCGACCTTCCAGGTATTGTAATGTCTTAGGTCACAGCAGATCTTTATTTGGTGATTCAGGTCCACATGACTTGTTAAAGGACACTCAGGAGAGAGGGAGTGAGAGAAGCAGGATGGGGTAGGGGAGAGAGGTGAGCAAGGATGTGAGTTCAGCTGAATCTAGCCTCAGTCTGGTCCCACAGGGAGCTCTGGAAAGTGAATAGCATCACAGAGTTAACCCAACTTGAGACAAGGTGTCCGCCTTCTCTTAGCCAGTCATTGGCTGTGGACTGACCCCCGTGGGAATAGGTGAGCAGGCTTCCATTCAGCTGAGGACAACTATCTGAAGGAAGCATAACTGTGACCCTTTAGCTACCAATGACCCCTGATGGCATACAGGAATCTAAGCTGGGCACCCACATTGCCATGTCATGCCATGCCATCTCTATTTACAGAGCTGTGACTCCTTCCAAGAATCTTTAATAAAAATAAGACCCCCAGCCCAGCCGGCAAAGCTCAGTGATTGAGCGTCGACCCATGCATCAATAGGTCAGGGCACAAGCCCAGGTTTCAAGCTCAGTTCCCAGTAGGGGGCATGCAGGAGGCAACTAATCGATGTTTCTATCTCCCTCTCCCTTCCTCTCTCTAAAAATCAATAAAAACTTATTTTAAAAAATGAAATCCCCAGACAAAATACTAATATATATAATATATAAAGAGCTCCTAGAAATCAATAGGAAAATGAAAAAATCCCAACATTAAAAAAACACACAAAAGATATGAATAGATCATTCACAGAAATGTTAATACATGTGGCTATTGAACATATGTGTTCTGTCATTATAAGAGAAATGCAAACTAATACTACATTAGGATTCCATATTTCACCTGTAATAAAACCAACAAAATTTCAAAAGTTTGATGAACATGTGGGTCAAAAAACTATAGTCAAACTGCTGAGAGAATAAATTGGTATAATCAGTATGGGGGACAATTTGTTAATATTTATTTAAAATACAAATACATACGCTCTTTAGAAAGTAAAGTCTAGTGGCCAAGAGTATAGGCTTTGGAGCCAGGTTGGTTGGCACTGCCACCTGCCTGCTGTCTAACCTTGGGTAGGTTGCTTAACCTTTCTGTGCCTCAGTTTCCTCATCTTTAAAATGAAGATGGTAATACGACTTTCCTTACAAAGATTAAATAAATGGGTTAGTATCTGTAGAGTGTAAAAAGAATGAGATCCTAGCCCTGGCCGGTTTGGCTCAGTGGATGGAGGGTCAGCCTGAGGACTCAAGGGTCCCGGATTCAATTCCGGTCAAGGGCAAGTGCCTTGGTTGCGGGCACATCCCCAGTGGGGAGTGTGCAGGAGGCAGCTGATTGATGTTCCTCTCTCATCGATGTTTCTAACTCTCTATTCCTCTCCCTTCCTCTCTGTAAAAGATCAATAAAATATATTTTTTTTAAAAAGAATGAGATCCTGCTAATCCTCTTCCTCTTGTCCTATAGCCACTCCATTGTCTCCCCCCCCCCCTCCCGCACCTACCCACCCAACCATCAGTCTGGGGACTGGATATATTTGAGCAGTTGTGTTAAAAGGTGGAGATTATTGCAATGGAGGAAAATTAAAGAGGTACAAGGACCAGAGCCCCTATCAGAATAAAAGCACCCTGTGCCAACCCTATCCAGTCCAGCCTGGGATTCTAGAGAATCTGCTGGCTTTGACTGCACAAGGGCCCACATTAAGCAGAGAGCCCAAGAACCCTAGATACTTGCCTCAAAGTGACAGGCGACCCATCCAGCCACTTCCAGTCCCCTTCGTGTTCCCTGTCACTCAGTCCCAGCCAGTGCACCCGTGGAGAGCCGTGAGCCTTGACCACAAAGTTCTGCGAGTACAAATTCCATTCAGCCATCAATTCTTCTACACAACCCTCAGGATAAGGATCTTCCCTCCCTCCTTTAGGGCTTTTAAATGCCAACCCCAAAGCCCCTCCCAGACCCCATGGATCCAGAGCAAGATCAACACCTTCCTCCTACTTGAGCATGAGGGGTGGGAATAATTATGTTACTTTCTCACATGACCAGTGAACCGCTCTGAGTCTGCTTCCTCATCTGTAAAATGGAATAATAGTAGCTACTGCCTCATAGGGTTGTGGGAATTAAATGAGTTAATAGCATAAAGTGCTCAAAACCGTGTCTGACACACAGTCAGTACTGTGATATCTTCACATTTAGTATTATAACATACTAGAGGCCCAGTGCACGAAATTCCTGCAAGAGTAGGCCTTCCTTCCCCCAGCTGCCAGCACTGGCTTCCCTCTGGCACACGGGAGCCAGGCTTCCCTCCAGCTGCCAACAGGCACCCGGGACCCGGGCTTCCCTTGCAGCCCTGGCTTCATCCAGAAGGTCGTCCGGAAGGATGTCCAGTCTAATTAGCACATTATGCCTTTATTATTATAGATAATAATAATAATAATAAAAAGAACTGGAAGGGGGAAAGAAAGGAGAGGAATGGGACTTCCTGCCTTCTTGTATTTCAAAAGCCCAAGCCTTTGAAAGAAAAGAAAGGATTTGGGCCAAAGACAAAAGATTAGGAAGAAAATATCATGATCAAAAACAACTTCTCAGAGAAAACCAAGATGGTGGCATAGGTAAACACCGGAGTTTGCTGCCTCACACAACCACTTCAAAATTACAACTAAAAGACATAACGGACATCATCCAGAACCACAGGAAGGCTGGCTGAGTGGAATTTCTACAACTAGAAGGAAAGAGAAAAGCATACCGAGACTCAGAGGAGGTGCGGTGCTGAAGTAAATACAAAGGTGCGGAGGTGCATGTGGAGAGGGCTGGAGGCTCAGGACACGATTGTCTTTTTCAATCGGGAGAGAGTCTCAGGCTCTGAGCTCCAGTTCCGGGCGAGTCTTTAGGGACCCAGACTCACACGGGAGAAACGGGACTGTCTGGCATCAGTCGGAACTCGAGGGCAGCTTTCTCTTGGAGGCACTCTCGGCGATTGCCAGGACCTCTGAAGGCAGGACTGAGAGCAGCCATACTGCTGGCTCGCTGGGCCCACCCTGTTGATCCCCTGGGACCCTGCCCCACCCAAGCAGTGCATGGAGGCTTTTGCATATGAAAGGCCCAGCCCTTTGTAATCTGAAAATAACTTAACAATCTGCAGCTGCCCCAAGGCCCTAGGGCAACTTGCATTGCTTTACAGCTGGCTTCTGCTGGGTAGCCTTAGGCAAAGTCTAGATTAGCACCTCCTTAGATCCAAGAGCCAGTGTACCCAGTGGTCAGAGTGGGACCATCCAATTACAACTACTGAGATATATAAGGGACATACTCAGGGGGCAGACTCAGTGAGCACCATAGCCCCACTGAAGCAATTCTTGCCCCATAAGGGTGTCTTCAGCACAGAAGTTCTCCCACCGTAGACACAGCTGATTCTCACAGCCAATTGGCCTGGAGGTCAAATCCTCCCAGCTTTACATACAACAATCAAGGCTTAACTACAACAAGACTTGCACAAAGCCCACAAGGGGGTGCACCAAGAGTGTCTACCTCAGGTAATTGGGACACTTAGCACAGAAAGCCACTCTATCGACACAGCAAAGCACAAAAATGCCGAGACAAAGAAACAGGACACAAATGACAGAAATGGAGGAAAGCAAACTGCTGGATACAGAGTTCAAAACCACACTTTTAAGGTCTCTCAAGAACTGTCTAGAAGCCGCCGATAAATTTAGTAAGGCCCTCGAAAAGACTGGTGAGACCGCCGATAAATGTAGTGAGATCCTCAAGAAATCTAGTGAGACCCTCGATGTTGTGAGACTGTATCTGGAGAACTGAAACATACACCCGACTGAAATAAAGAGCCATGTTGGCCGAAACTGGTTTGGCTCAGTGGATAGAGCGTCCGCCTGCGGACTGAAAGGTCCCAGGTTCGATTCCGGTCAAGGGCATGTACCTGGGTTGGGGGCACATCCCCAGTGGGAGATGTGCAGGAGGCAGCTGGTCGATGTTTCTCTCTCATCGATGTTTCTAACTCTCTATCTCTCTCTCCCTTTCTCTCTGTAAAAAATCAATAAAATATATTTAAAAAATGATTAAATCAGATGTTTCCTTTGCCAAGCATTTACATTTGAGTCCTGGGTTATAGTGTTATTTCCTATACATTACTTTCCCCATGAGGCATATTTATTGAATAACGTGCATATTTACCTTTATTCAATTCGCTTTAAGTACAAATAAGATTTTTCACATAAGAAGTTGATCAGTCACAAGGAAAAAATATCCTGGAGAATTATTGGGGGAAAAAAGGCATGCTATGTTAGATAGTAGTTAAAAGGAAAGCTATAACATAGCTGAGATAGCACAAAAGATTCAACTTTTGTAAAACAGACTTTTTAGTAAAATTTGTATTTTGTGGTTTGCTATGTCCTGGAGTCCAAACTAAGAAGATGATCCTCAGCACAATGGTTCAGACACAGGTCAGGTCCTGGCTCCTAAAAATCACCTCGTCATTTAAAAATGTAATTCTACGTTGTGAGTTACTTTGTTCATTAAAGTACAAAATTTAAAAGAAGAACAATAGATTAAAAAGCATATTTGGTAATGTGATCTAAATTTTAAAAAGATTACATTTGCTCTGCTGACCCCTCCATTTTTATTTTATTTTTTAAGAAAGCTTCCCTTAACCATTTAAAAATTATTTATTGTTT